GGCTTCACTTAGAATGACATTTTCCAGGTCCACCCGTGTTGCTGCAAATGGCATTATTTTACTATTTTTATGGCTTAGTAGTATTCCATTGTATAAATATACCACAGCCTCTTTATCCAGTCATCTGTCAGTGGACATTTGGCTATTGTAAATAGTGCTGCTATAAATATTGGGGTGCATGCATCTTTTTGTATTAAGTTTCCCTCTAGATATATGCCCAGGAGTGGGATTGCTGGATCATGTGGTAAGTCCATTCCTAGTCTTTTGAGGACTCTCCATACTGTTTTCCACAGTGGCTGCACCAAACTGCATTCCCACCAGCAGAGTAGGAGGGTTCCCCTTTCTCCACAGCCTCTCCAGCATTTGTCATTTGTGGGCTTTTGAAGGATGGCCATTCTGACTGGTGTGAGGTGACACCTCATTGTAGTTTTGATTTATATTTCTCTCAACAGCTTCATCTTTAAAAAAGGAAAAATAATCGTACTTCCCAGGATGACCTGGGGACTCAGATGAGTCACAGTGTCTGTATCAATCCTATCTAAGCAAAGTAGGATATGTGGAATAATAGTTACTGCCTCATTCTCTGACATGCCTTGCCAGTGTCCAGATGTGACTGGTCAGTGGTTTACAGTGTAGCCCAGGATCTGCCCCAGCATAAGGACCCTTCCAGAGAGGTCTTAATGTGGCCTGAGTGGATTGTACGGTAAAGAGATCGCCTTTGGTGTCCTTCCCCTCTGATGTAAGCAGAGCTGCCCTGCTGTGGGCAGGAGGGATACCCTTCAATCCAGGTCTTTAGGTTTAAAATAAAGAAATAGATTAAAGCCTTCTCTTTGGGTGAAAGGCTAATCAACTAACTCCCTCTGCCTATAGTGCACACTTCCTTTTGGCTGCACTTTCTGAACTCATCACTTATTCTAGTCACTGTCGGCTCCGATCAACAGCCTTGTTGCTGGCGTCTCTCCCCTTGAGCTCCTGTAGCATTAATATTTCATGAGGAACAATAGGGTAGGACTGTACACTGGCTTCTGGAAAAGAAGAAAGCACGGGAAAGAATGAAATCAAATGGCCTGAATAGTTGGAGGGGAATGTGATAAACCCAGAGCCCGTTTCCTCGGCGGTGTTTTACAGAAAGGGATTTATTGCACAACAATGAGCTTTTATTTATTCTTCTTTCAGTGAGCATTTTTGCATTATTATTCATTCGGCAGTTCAGCTGGGTATTCAGAAGTGACAGCTTGCCAATTTTTTTCACAAGCATTTTGGACCTTAACATCTTAATCTGAAATCATTGCAGTGATTACAGGGGGGTAGTGGGTGGGAGATGTGGGAAAGGTAGCAGCATTTCCAGAATGCTTGTACCAAAAGGAATTGTGCTAAACAGATAGCTCTGACAGCCGCAGATGGAACGTTGGAGTCTCTGCTTGCTGATGGGTAGCAGGAACGGGGTTATATAGGATGTCGAAATACTTGCCCGCTCTGAGGTTTTCCCCCCATTTTAGCAAATGATCACACCTGTGCCAGCCAAGGTAGCATTCCCTCTTTCACCTTCTCTTTGAGAGCAGCAGTCACTGAAGCTATAGAAAGGCCATATCTAATCAATCGATTAATCAGTACTTATTAGGTGTCTAATCTGCCTGCTGAACTCTCTAATCCTTTATCCTGCTTTATTTTCTTCCTAGTACTTGCTATTAATCATGCTACATTTCAGCTTATTTATTTGGTTTATTATCTGGTTACCCAGTTAGAATGTAAGTTGCCTGGGGACAGGAAACTTGTTGGGTCTTATTCGAGGCTGCATCCCCATCACGGAGAACAGAGCCCCAGCAAACAGTAGAGACATACTATTTATTGGACTAATGAGTGAATGAATGCAGGAATGCCAAATGCTGAGGAAAATTAAGGAGTGGTGAGACATTCTTCCCTTATCTTGCTGTATAATCTAGCTGGAAAGCAAGCTGTGTGAATGCTCAGAGCCTGCAAAGTAAGGCAGGGCATCAGAAGCTCTTGGTTTTTCTTTGACGGGTCTTCCCTACAGGTGATGACTATGAGCTTCTTGTGTAGAAGAAAAAAATGTGTTGCCATCCCCTTTAAGTACTATCCAGTAAGAATAAACTGGCCACCCTTGGACCTGCCAAGGTCCAAGTCCTGCCCGCACGCTCTGCCTTACTCTATTCGTGTGACCCCCCTTTGCTTTTGATCTCACAGCTGAGGTCCAGAGGCACCCCCACCTGCCAGTGATACCAACTGGTTTGCCCTCTTCTTACCCCCGCTAACTATATTCGGAGGGTGGCTTGGTTCAAATGCACCCCTGAAAGAGATCTCTTCAGCCGTGTTCCTCAGCTTGTGTTGCAAAAAAAAATCTTGTGGCTATTAATAGAAGTCTTTTGGGCAAACATTTCTGTAGCCAAATGGGTGCAGGGAATACAGAGTTAATTGAAGCCGTTCCCATAGTTGTCTGTAAGCCTTCGGTGCACTAGTGCGCACTTAAGTCTCTGAGACAGGGACGTGGTACACAGTGAGAGTTTCCCTCAGATTTATTTCACCATGGAATCTTTCTCTCCTAAAATACTTGTTACATCTTGCCGTCACTGAAACATAATCTAGGTAATATTGGTCTACAAGCTTCGCAGGAGAAGGATGTGCAGAGGTGGCCTGAGCTGGACCTTTGGGGGTTTGCAGATTGGCTAATTGTTCATCACCAATTGATTGGGGATTACCATGATGCACAAGTTCATAGAACCAGGACCATAACATTCAGAAGATGGAGAACCAAGGTTTCGTGAAAGCAGTGGGATGGAGCTGGGCTTCAAGTGGTAAACAGGGTTTAAACAGAGGAGAAGAGGAAATTTCAAATGTGGGCAAAAAGGATAGACAGCTGTATAACGCTGAGTGTTTTTATTTTCAAAATTTAATTTCCTCAGATTTCTGAAAATTCAGTGAGACTTTGATGAATGGTTTCAATATCCAGTCCTATTTTTTTTCTTATTAATTTAGTGTATTAGTTTCCATCCTCTGAGGCAGATACTAAAACAATTCAAGTGTACAAGGATTTTATTAAGGAAAATGCCTGTGTGATAGAAAATAGGGAGAACCCGGGGCTGTCAGACCATTACACAAGTCCGACCCCAAGTGAAGGAGGAAGGGAGGGAAAGTTGGGTAGAAGTGTTCTCAGCTGCTCTGAAGTCTCAAGAAGGGTTAGCAATACTGTCAGGGGGTCCTGTGTCAAAGTCAGGCATCAGAAGAGTCCAATTTTTCCCAGGACTAACTGTCCAAATATTCCCACCACACTGAGGTACCAGCTGGGAGCAGCCCATGGGAAACGTGGCCTTGGTGCAAATACGGTGATGAGTGTCAGAGCTCAGCTGCTGGCCCGTTGATCAGTTAAGCTCCCTGTGTTGGAATTCTGCAAGACACATTCTCATGACCACCACACTCTAGAAACAGAGCTTTATAAAAAGTGAACTAACCTGTATATGAGGAACACACTGGCCCCAAACCCAAAGTCACACATGTGAAATGAGGGGTAAAGGCAAGGCCGTGTCTGCTGCAAATGACCGTAGACTTAGCCTGGGAATTAGAGGCTCTTGTTATTTCTCATTTTATAAATTTCCAGATAAGAATATTTTATTTTCTCCAGGGAGTAGATTCAGTTTCTGTGGGATCTCAGCTTATAAAATTGGATGTTGAGAATGAGGACTATTATTAAGAAAAAGAATGTAAATTACAAACGCAAAATTGCCAGGGCTCCTCCTCGAAGCCTTGGAAAGGGGCCCTGCAAGTAAGAGGCCAGCTCCAGCCTCAGTTACTGAAATGATAAATCCACCCCTGCCCATCTGCAAATCATGGGTAAGAAACTTGGAGTACATTGCATGAGCATATTTAAAAATAATTCACTGTTGATTGATTCATGAAAATGTAAAATGCCTCACAAGTGTTTAATTATCTGAACTGTGTGTGCTTTCGATGGCAAAGAAATAGCAGATGAGAGATGGAGAGAGTGAGCCTTGGAGGTTAATGCACAGAGAATGACCCTGGTGTGCACTCGCTGGCAGAGCTGAGCTGCTGACGCAGATCCAGAAGGATCCGTTCTCAGAATCCAACTCAGTCACAGTCCTTGGAGGGGAGCACAGTGTGACTTTGGGTCTCCTATTTCCCGTCTCTGTAGGGACACAAAATAAGGAAAACAGGAAGTATAGAGCATGCACGCGCACGCGCGCACACACACACACACACACACACAATTGTGCTTGTAGCTCAGCCCCACAGTGCAGTGCAAGGAGCAGTAAACTCCCGAGGGCTGCAACTAACACACCTGTGTTGGTTAGTCAAGCTCCAAGGATGACAAGATGTTTCCCCAAGTTCGTTTTTGCAGAGGATTCCAAACTACTCGGATGGAGAGGCTTCTAATGAGAGAAATAAAGCAAAACAAAAATGAAAATGAGGGAAGAATAAGGAAGAAAAAGGAAAGAGGAAGTGAGGACAGACAGCCGAGGGAAGGGAACAGGAGACAGTGTGGAAAAGAAAGGGGAGGGTGGGGGGAGGAGCAGAGGCCCAATTGCTTCTGGATCTTTTATTGTCATTTGAAAACAGAATCTGACCCAAAGTATTAGACTCATGCAAATCCAGTCAGAGGAAGCTCTGATCCTGGACGTGCCTTTGCTGGGCTCTGATAATCCCAAGGTCACCATCCCTATGGCTTTCTAGTTTGGTTTTCAGTCCATCTGAATATTCTACTGGTGGGATGGTCTTCCTTACACACGACGACACTGTGACCCTTCCCAACTCAGCACGGGGTGAAACTCGACAGCTTGCTGTTCAAGCCTAGCCTCTCCCCGAGCAGAGTCGTGGATCACTCATTTGCTCCGGCTCGCCTCATTTAACGCTTTAACAGCCCTGTTTCTCATTTTTTGCATTGTTCTCCACCTAGATCTGTTTTTCTAACTGAACAGATCCTTGTCTGATTAGCTGAATCATAATACATTGAAATTTCCTCCTTATCTTTATATTTTCCGTATCGTACAAGCTCCAAGAAATATGTTGTTCCACCAGTAGCCCCCATCCCAATGGACAGCAGATAGCAGGATCATGATAAATAATTCTTGAAAGAAATGAATGAGTGTAAAAGATATTTATATGCATACACACTTCCCTTTACTTATGATTCCTATGACTTTTGCTCAATTATCCCCTTTTCTTTAAAACGCCCCTTGAAGTTTGTCATTTCCAGAAGAATGTACCGAAATAGTCATTTTATGCACACGCACACACTCTTGGTGCTTTATTTACATTGGAAGGTCCTAGGTGCTGCTTTGCTTTGCGTTTGTTTTCCGATGATGAAGTAGTTTGTAGCAGACCAATGATTCAGGAAAACTTGTTTTTAAAAAAAACTGTTTTTACACCTGAAGGCATCAGGGAGCAACTAAGAAAATCAGATTTGAGGGGCCAAGATCCCAGGAAGAAAGGGAGCTCATTGATGTAACCCCAACATTCTACACTGCATTTCTCTTCAGGGTATATGCCAATCTTTTGGACATGGTTTGAGAGGCTGAGGATCCAGGCAAAGGGTGACATCTAAGAGGTCGAGAAGCTAGCTGAGCTTTTGGCAATCCTCTGTAACTAGGGAGAAAAAAACATTAAGTTCAGGGCTGCCAGTGCATGAGAATGTGTAAGTCCAGAGCTCTGAAAGAAAGGAGAAACAGAGAAGGGGGCCCAACACTTGGAAGAGTTTTCCTCCTCAAGGAGTTTGATGATTGAATTGAAGACTTAAAAGCCAAGTTAATACCATCAAAAAATCAAGAGTGGAGTTTTTAGCATCTCTTAGTCCTGGGGAGACAAAAATTGAATTTCAGGATAGGCTGTATTAAACACCTCAGCATCTCGAGTACCGTAAAGGACTATCCCCTAGCAGCAGGTAAAAATCAGAAGTAAACTGAGGCTTATTTAGTCTCTAATGGGGTTGAGGGAAACTGCCCCTAATCTAGCTGCCTGCAGAGGACAGGGTACATTCTCTCTGATACGAGAGAACAGTATGCAAACTGTCGAGTTTTTCATATAC